CATTGTTGGGCGTAATCAAACAGATCAGTGTTTCCAACCCACCTTGCCAGCCCGTGAGATTTCAGTAAAACAAAAAATAACAGGTTTGAGAAATGCCGTTATAGATAATTAACGAGATATTTCGTTTACAGCTGATAATAACAGAATGCTAACTAATGGAACAAACTTAGCCAGTCCCATTGAAGTAAATAACTTGTTTATAACTTAAAGAACTTGTTTATAGCAGATTAATATAATGTAACCAAATTGTATTCGCGGTTTATCTCCCCGACCGAAAGGTTCCAGATGATATCACGATGACGTTGTGCGTCCCCCTGGAAACAACTACTTTCCGCACATGACAACTGGAGTTCTAAAGGTTCGAAACGTCAAAGGTCACTTCCTTTGGGTATGGAGACGAACCTTATCGAGTTCGGGATTACAGGGTCAAGGTCACAATTTCAAAATATACAAATCTGGTTATTTTCAAAAAGAAACATAATCACAATGTACACCCCCTCACAATGTACACCCACCCCATCCACCCAAGTAAAAAAAAAAAAGGAAAGAACTAACATACTGCATAGGATGAAGCACCAATTTCCAGAAGTTCTCGGTTTATTTGTTTTAATCACTAAACTCCTGGTGTGTATGATACATACCGGATGTTATGTCTGCACTGCTGAAATTGAGGAGTGTCAACAAGGTTCATTCACATCTTTCTCTGGTTTACTATTACGTTCGCGTTTCATCAATTTTAATTTTATAATTGGTTAAATTTTAACTGTTTATTCATCTACCATTCACGCCATTGAACGTTATTTATGACTAATACATGGTAATTTAGACTAACACATTAACACTGGCATAGTTCAAAACATTTCTTGAGTGAAAACATGATTAAATGTAATTACAAGCGAAATCATTTGTTTACATTGATCTTGTTTTATGATTTTCAGAAATATAACACTTGCTTTGTTTGTTTGTTTTGAATTTCGCGCAAAGCTACACGAGGGCTATCTGCGCTAGCCGTCCCTAATTTAGCAGTGTAAGACTAGAGGGAAGGCAGCTAGTCATCACCACCCACCGCCAACTCTTGGGCTTTTCTTTTACCAACGAATAGTGGGATTGACCGTCACATTATAACGTCCCCACGGCTGAAA